TAAAGTCTATAAATTTAAGTTTTATATATATCTTAACAATAACATAAGTGGTGTTGCTGGAATTACTGTTTCTTAGTTTTGTTAAGTGGACTAATTGCTAGTTCACAGTTTGACTTAAAACACTCTTTCTTAAAAGTCCCAGTCCATGAATAACTTTGGGGGACATGAAAAATTTGTGACAGCCAAGAAATCTATCTGTCTAATCTGTCACATTTTCATAATAAATGTGCTTTTCCCCAAACAAAAACAAACAAAGCAGTAGAATAGAATTAGAATTCATTAAGTCAGTAACAAAGTATGAAAATAGTCTATAAAAAGATTCTCCTTTGTTGCAATTCCAACGCTATTTAGACCTATTTATTCTATTTGATTATTTCACTTGGAAGCAAGAGTACAGTGAAATAAAACAAAACACATTGGTGTATAAAGGTACGCTTTTATCTAAGCCTAAGTACCCTCTCTGAGAGAGCCACTGATACTCAGGTTAGCTTTTTTATCTCCCATGAGTGCCCGTGGAGATCGAAAAATACTATAGTTCAAATTCATGCTTTTATACAAAAAGTATATATTAAAGTGCTACTTGCATGAAAATGGCCTTATTTCAAAACTTCAAGAAAAACAAATATATGACTCATTTATATCTATTAAAAACAATTGCGGGAAAATATTTGTCTTGGAATTATCCCACATCAGAGAAATTTTGATTCAAAAGATGGAAGAACAAAAGGAATGACGTCATCTACTCCAACATTTTTTGCCCAAATTATTAATGATTTGCATCAATATTTTCTTGAAATCTGTTGCTTCATGATTATTATACCYAARTGGATAGGTCTATTTGATTYCCAAGMCTTTTCTAATGTTTCGCAATTTTCGTCCAAGTAGCCCTTTAAGTAATATGCATCAAATAAAAAAATTATAATACAGGATAATGATAATGATACTATTTCAAAAAATCAAAACTAAGTTGTAGCAGCGTATAAGAGTTCATAAGAACGTATTTACTAGTATTATACTTGCAGTAAATGATTGAACAAGGAGTATGTGACTGGAAAGAAGTCATAAATGTAATAAAAAATATGATAAGATTTGTCATTGATACACAATACTCAGTCAATAATTAAGATATATTTAAATCATTTTATTAAGGGACAGCCATGATTTTTGTATATGTATCAAGCCTCCAACCTAAATAAAATATTGTGCGACACTAATATGGCAAAAAAGATATCGAGGATTGATGGGTAATACTGAAATTTTTTAAAGCCAAATGAAATATTCAACTCTTCCACCCCCTTCTTCGTAGCAGGAGGTAGAAAAAGAAATATTCACGGATATTAAATTTTCACATAAATTTACGTGCTCTCATCAATGCCCCTCAAAGTGCTGGGAGGATCAGACCCTTATTAATCTGGCCTTTGGTCGCGATTACATCTCTCAATCAAAAATGTATTGGGGCCCCTAACATGTGCGGACTGGTCAAAACGTCCACACAACATACACCCTGCCTGTGTTGATCGCTTATCCAACTTTCATGGTCCGTCCGTTATATAGCGTAAACGTATCAATGAAAAATTACACTTTAAAAAAATATGGTGCAAGAGCTACAACAAAAAAACATTCTTCAGTTCTAAGAGGATTCATCTTGAGATGATACTGGCATGTTCATTAAGGGCTGAAGGGAAGAAATAACTGCATCCAGACCCCTTACTGGTGTGTAGTCTACTTCAGTGCTCCTACACTTAGGGCATTGTTCTTGAACTCTCTCTAAGCAGTCACCACACCCCAAAATTGACTGACAGCAGCTTGAGTACACAGGTTGCTGCATGGCACCTAGACAAATCAAGAAGTATATGACTCAGTGTCTAGCGGCAGCTAGTTTCCAGAGGCAGTCTTGTACAATTTGACAAAATGAATAACACAATGTATCTTCTAAAATAGCAACTCGGGTATATTCCTTTAACTGCGGATATACTGATTATTTTGAGTAGAACTGAAAATTCAACAGACTCAATTAAAGTTTCAGTCTTTTCAGCATGCGCCATTTTAGGGTTTGAAAGCATTGTCTTTTTTCTGCTTAGGGTGATTAAACTAATGAAAATTGCTAACGAGCTGCTGAATATCTCTTGTTACTAATAAGAGGGGTAGGGAATTAGTACAAGATTGCAAAGCAAACGTATACTTACATTTGCATATTGCACATGAAAACGTTTCTTGTATTGTTCTAACAGAGCTGATGTCTGGAACCCATAATCTTTTAGCGTTGGCGATTATTCTAGAAAGTTTATCATCAACTTCGGATAGGAGGTCGTCTTCAGCTTGTCTTCTGAAATGAATATATGTTTACTCTGTTTAGAGTGATTTTAGTGCAACTGCAAAATAATTTGTTGACTCATTGATATATTTAGTATTTTGGCCTCGCAAGACTTTGCATATTAATTTCATCTCTACTTCACCATCCTACGTTTGATCTTGACACAAAATTAGCTTCTTTCTTGTTTGTAAAACTAGTTTCGTTTCATTAAAGATCCTCCCCAGTTACAAGACAAGAAATAAGCCAATATTGTGTGTCAAGACCAAACGTAGGATGGTGAAGTAGAGATGAAATTAATTAGTTGACTAATAACTATTAAAATAAGGTTAAACTTGGTTCATGATTCTGAAGCTTCATTGAATATTCCAATTAATAATACAGATTAGGAAAAAGTGAAAGCTAAACATGCAGTCACAAACGACTATTGAAAAATATAGAAGTACTAATGTTATTCAATAAATATTGTCTTATAACAATACTACGTGTCCAAAATTCTATAAAAATTGTGTAAAAACTGAGCGTGAACAATTAAAATTGATGCTTTTTTGCGAAGTCTTTGGGATTTATTGAAAATATCTCTGACCATGTGTGCGTTAAAATGTGTTTGAKAACGCCTCAAAACGCTGGAAATGACATTTCAAAAATTTCGCTGCTAGCCCACCCAAACAAATTCACGCTCCGCGGTCCCTGTTCTGTACACAGCTTCGTAGCCCTTTTACAGAGATCTAAAGTATGTATCTGGAAAAAATAAACTCTTCAACCTTAGCCACCTAAAAAAAATCTTTAAAATCTTTCAGTGTATTCATTTTCCAATTCCCCCCTGATTTTCTCGACGGTTGATTTGCCGCGCTTCTACTAATTTATGTGACGTCACCTAAATAGGGCTAAATAGTTGCTAAGTTTTTCACAGTTTTGACTGAAAGCACTCTAGTCTCCTTCATAGATACATAGTATCATTTCATAACAATTACAGTAATTTCACAACGCGAAGTAAAATCTAGAATTAGCTAAATCAACATTTGAATCATCAGAGACATCAGGCAGTACTTACTTCCTAGTAGGGTTTCTTGCAACCATAAGGGCCCTGTACTCATCTCTAGTGACCACAAAAAATTTTCTGGCCGGAGTTTTCCAGTACTCGATTCCTTAATAAAAGGATTTAAGGTTAACTGACGTCTTATTAGCACTGAAATGCTCAATATTTACAGTAATACTACACATGCATAAACCAATCAATAAATCCAAGTAAAGGTGAATGAGTCAGCGGAAAGAAAATCATGTACATAACCGGGACATAAAGGTTGGATATATACGTACCTCTTGTAGCCACGCTGTCGACAATTTCAAACCCACTACTGTCTGTTAAGACCAGCTCGGCATCGATATTAGCCACCTCCTTTGTGATCCTTACAACATCTGCCGTATTGCACGTTTCGCAATTTAAACTTATGTGGTAACTGCCACTAGGACTTAATGTTTTTCCTTGTATAATGCCGCGGAATATTTTTCTAAATAAAAAACGACGAAGAAAAATATAAAAATAATATAATATTATAATAATAATAAAAAAATAAAACAGAAAAACGAAATATAATAAGAATTCCTCGGTCCGAGCTCAGTATCTATGATTTCCAACTGTTTAAACAATTGAGAGTTGCACTTTCGCCCTGATCAAAAATTCGTATTTATGCCATCGTTACGATTACAGGATGTAACATTTGTTATAAATAAATGTTGCTGCGTTGTTGTACCTTGGGAGAGGTCGAATACCTACAATTAATAATTGTATTATTGTAGAACGGTATCTAGCGATCATTGAAAAAATTGCAGATTTGCACTGATTTTTCCAGAAATGTATGTTCACCTTGTAAAATTGCTACGCTGACCACGGGCTGCAGATGAGCTCCTGAACATGAATCCATGTGTTGAAGGTGATGCCCGCGGTGTGCTGTTGTTTGCTGAGAAGGAGAAGGCGTGTGATTGCGTATTTTCGTCCACTTGAGGTCCGCCTTGCACGGTAAATGTCCCATTTGGTGGACCCAAGTGGTCGGCTGGAAACTGACCGCTTTCGTCCGGAAACACGGCTACGTTGCTCCTGTTTAGCAAATAAATACTATCTTGTGGAATCTAAAGTAAGAAAAGTTACCAAAATCAATTTCGCTTAAACTATTAGATTGCCATGAGTCACTATCAACAGTTCGCAAGAGTACAGTATGAAAGTACATACAAACCTGAAACATTTGGCTCAGTCTTCTCGTATTTAGCATTTCCAGACGGATGTTGAAACTTCTTCCACCATGAGATACAGTGTAGATTTCTTCCATGATAAATGTCTTTTTTTGTATTTCTTTACGCTTAGCGGATCATTCACTGTAACAATGCAAGTGATAGCGGTGGACACGTACACATAATTATTAGGGTTCGAATTCGCCTACGTCATCAGTACGGTGATGCCAGAGCAACGCACACATCTTTGCTGTATTTGTATCTCCTTTAATACTGCAGAAAACACGCTGAAGGCAGACCACACACAAGAACCAGATATCCGGCAGTCAGTCTCTGATGCTATCTTCGAACAATTATCGGATCATCATTACGTACTATAATCTGATTATCCAATTGAAAACATCTCTGTGATCGATTGCAAATAAACTGGCAAAACCTTTTTTCAATGTCTTGAATTGTTTTGTTTTGAAACTATTTGTTTAGAACAATACTTTGTATATTTTATTGTTTTTCGCTATTGTTTCATGTGTATATATAGCTCTTCAGTTGTAATAAATTCTAAATTGCTTGAGAATGGCATCAGAGGATGTCGAAACGTCGCAAAAATGAATCTAGTTGCGTTTGTCTTTTTGATTAATCTTGAATTGTTCTTTAAAAAAAATATTTTTTCCTACTGTTATCTAGACCATTCCTAAGGTACATCAACGATGCTTCCTGTGTTTTTACTGAATAGAGTGTTATCTATAAAATCGTCTGACGAGAATTGGAAAATTTAATTATCACCTTAATATGCTAGACCACAGTTATCAGAGGCAATCTGGATCTTGTACATTGGGTTCCACGGGATTTTACTTCTTTGACATAGTTAGTATTAACAATAATAGTAACAATGGTTTATCAGAACTGCTAAAATGCCAACACTATACAGTGTGCCTATGAAAAACTAAGATTATCGTCATCTTATAGTGCCAATGAACAGTGCGTGAAATCAATACACGGCAGCACTGCATGCTGTTTTTGGCAACTATTTATAAACACATTCAATGAAGATGCTCTAAAAAATTAGCGCGACGAACACGTAGAGTGTGAAGTAGCACAACTAATTCAAAAGCATATTCCGAGTCTTAATAGTGTGCACGTGGAAATGCTGTCATCAAGTCCTTTAGCAACGAGTTATATTTTTGCTTTACTTTGGTAAAAGAACAGCATAAAATGCAAGGAAATGGTTGTAAACGCAATATGTTTGTATCTATAATATATCGAATATAGTTGTATATTTCAGCATTACAAATAGAACTGAATTACTGTAGCTCATGAACGTTGCGACTGAGGATACTTTTTTCCATGCTTTCATGTCTTTTACTCTACGAAAAACTAATCCTATATAACTCATTCTTAATTGCAGAAGTTTACTTATCAACAACACAACCTCGCGTTTTGATATGTACAAATAAGTAATAAAGAATACTGACAACAAAAAAGAGAAAGGAAAAAAGATATAAAATGAATCAATTTCTCAAGATTTTTAAAAGGATCAATTATTCTCAAGAATAAAATGTAGATTAAGATGAGATTGTTTCATAAAATGCATGCCAAGGTATAGGAGATGCAACTGTAGAGTTTCACAAAGTCCCTTTTACTCCCCTATGGAACAAGGGTGGGACTCTCGCGCTCCCCGCTCCCTTTTTTTTCWTTCTCGCGCTTTTCGCTCGGAGTTCGATTCTTTCTTGTTCGGAGTCCAAAGGGAGTCCGACTTGTAATCTAATGCAACAGGTACTTTTGTAGCAACCACGATTCCGTAGCTTGCCACACATGGCATTACCTTCATATGACACCATGCTGTTACCGACTACTTTCACCGAATATTTATCTGAAAAACAGTCGCTGCGATATGAAATCAAATTATCACCTAAGAACTAATAGAAAACAGACATCATACCCATAAGGTCCTGTATAAAAAGAGCTGTGTTGGTACTGCTCCGTCCCAGACACTTCATTGTTGCTTCGCGCGATCAAAGATCAAGTTTTTTGGTAAGTAATTATTTTTCAAGTGCCAATTTTGTTCATGGTCGACGTGATTAGATG